GATGTCCAAACGGAGGAGACAAAATTCGCCGGAGAATGGTAGCCTCGGCGACGATGAGAATTCCTCTACCGATGGGGTTTGTTGGGGGTGAACTTTACACGAGTCCCAGTTGCTGAACGCGCATGCACGCATGCACACACCAACAGGTACCTAAAATCGGTTGATAAATTCAATGAGTGGCACATATCGTCATTTATCTCGGCCGGCAGTATCCTTTTTTTCTTTCTTTCTTGGTGACCAAAAATCTCGTCAGCCAATCGCCTCGTTTTATTTCTAACGATTATAAAGATATCAAATTCATGTTGTTACATGAAACCAAGAATGAAGAAGGCATTCGGAATTTCTTCAGCGATTGTCACGAACTTTACATCAAGGTATGTTCCTGTCCATACGTGATCAATAGGATTCGCGCGTGCATCTCACCGACCACTACTTTTTTTCAATGGTTGATGCGTAAAAATAGATGTTGATGAACCCATTCTATGAGGTTAATACCGCCATCACCTCGGTGGCGTTTGATGCCAAAGTTCGTTTTATCACCAAGAAATATTTGTAACATTTAGAGCCCCCTTGTTTTGTCTCGATTCTTGGAATCTCGTTTATTTTATTTTATTCTATTTAAATCTATTTAAAGATAAATAATGTAATTAAGTTACACGTATGTTACGTACATCTTTTAACAAGCCGGAAAAATGACTTACGTAATACTGTAGTAGCAAATACGTAATTATGACAATCCTGATGATCCGTTCACTATCTTTGGTCAGGAGAGTTTTCAATATAAAAAACTGGTAATCCGTGCCTCTTGCATAACGGTGTTTTGGCAACATAAACTATGCTCGAGTCTCTGGTGGCCAATGTGTTGAATCGCTTTCTTGGAGCATATGTCTCAAACCTTGAGGACAAACAACTTAATATCGCAATATGGACAGGCATGTCGAAGCGCGCGTCTATTTCTTCGAGAATTCTGTCGTCTTTTTTCTTTTGACAGAGTAGTGGAGTTTATAAGTTGACATCGTGTTTTCTTCAAAGGTGACGTCGTCTTGAGGAACCTACAACTCAAGAAAGAGGCTCTTGATAAGTTCAATCTACCCATTGATGTATTGGAAGGTGCGAAGGACGTGAATAATGTAGAATTTGTGGAATTTGACAATGAATCAAATAAATTTCTCAATTAAATAAAATTCACTCGTCTCTCTCTCTCAAATTTGTCGTGGGTCACCTATTATCCTATAGGATATCTCGGGGAACTTTCTCTCAATATCCCTTGGACCGATTTAAAAAACAAACCAGTAAAAGTTCTCATAAACAATGTTTATCTCCTAGCAGTTCCCAGAGCCGAATCGGAGGTTAATTGAGTTCGCAAATAAAAAAAAAATTATTTTTTTTTTTTACCTTTTGAGTCTTGAATTGAACAAGTTTAATTCGATTATTGATTTCCGGTGTATTAGTATGATGCTGAAGAGGAAGAAGAGCGCGCCCAGCAACTCAAACAGGAAAAACTAGCAAATGCCGAATTGCTTCAAACCAGTACACCCTTGACCGAAGGTTTGATCCGTTCTAACATCTTATTTCTGTTTATTTGGTCCAGTCAGACTTTATCGTTTCATCTGACTCATTTTACTGACGTCGCATTCTGAAATTTGATTTCATAAGAGGATAACCAGAAGAATCAATCCTTCATAAATCAGCTGGTTACGAAAATTGTTGATAATCTTCAGATTTCCATCAATAACATTCATATTCGTTACGAAGATAAATTAAGTGATCCGGGAGTATGTTCATCATTTGGTTTGCACGCCCTTCCCTTGCAAATTGATGCAGGTGCTAATAGATCTGGCGTAAACGATTCTTAGCATCCATTTTCGGTTGGCTTCACGTTGTCGGAATTTTCAGCGGTGTCAACGGATGAAAATTGGGTGCCCACTTTTATTGAGGGCGAAACCAGCTCGATTAACAAGGTAAATTTACAATATACCTGACATTCCTGTCATTAATCCTCACCATCTCACCATTTCCTCCTTTGCTCGTGTGATTTAGCTAATTACGCTAGGTTCACTAGCCATTTATTGGAACACGGACTCGAGATCTCTGGCGGGAGCACCCACGAAAGAGTCTGTCGAGACATTCACCAGTCTGGTAAAAAAAAAAAAAAAAAAAAAAAAAAAAGAAAAATCTGAACTCGGATTCTCAAATGTGTCTGATCTTTTCTGATTTTTACGTAGATCGCATCTGAGAATAAGGTTCCGACGGAACATCAATACATTCTGAAACCGGTCTCGGGAACCGGACGCGTAATTATATAATCATGATCGTTTAGCTATGGGGACACTTGCGAATCATTTACAAGCATCATTTTTCTCCCTTTCCTTGTAGGTCGTTCTAAATAAAAGCTATAGCCTTGAGAAACCGAAGACCAGTGCGACACTTTTATTCGATGAACTAGGATTTATTGTGGACAACGAGCAATACAGGGATGCGTTGCTGATGGTGGATTTGTTCCATTTTTACTTGCGTCAACAAGCGGTAATGCCACAATTCACATCTTTGCCTTTTGATCAAAAGAATTTCAATTGTTTTTTCCTAATCTTTGTGTCTCCTCAGTATCGGAAATTTAGACCTCCGCGTGAAATAACGCCCAAAAAAGATCCGAGAGCCTGGTTTCAGTTTGCCGCGAAGTGCATCATCTCGGAAATCCACGAGAGAGATCGAAAATTGACATGGGAGTATTTCGCTGAACGTCGAGATGATCGACTGTCATATGTTAAATTGTACAAGGATAAAATGATTGAACGAATAACGCCTGAGGTGTGATGGACTTCACGCATGACTTTATCTAAATTTTGCTTCCGAATAATCACAATCTAATCGTTTTTGTAGGATGCTAATAATTTGACATTATTGGAGCGGAAACTTAGTTACGAGGACATCCGCTTCTACAGGTCGATTGCAAAATCACAGTTGAGGAAGGAAAAGGAATTCTTAGGTTTGTCTTTGGTCATTCGTGAAATCTTTTGTATCCTAAAATTGTCGGTCGGTCGATCAATTCCTATCCACAAATGATTTAAACAGCACAGATAAAGAAGGAGCAGGAGAAAACACAGGGGACCGCACGGCAGTCGACGGGCGGGGGTTGGTTTAGTAGTTGGTGGTATGGGGGGTCATCACAAAGTGTACGAATCATTTATACCAGTGAATATGCAGATATTCGTTCGTCATGGCATTGATTGCATATCATTTTATTCCATAATAGTCAACCGAAGATATAACTTTGTCCAAAGAGCAATTACAAGAATTATTTAAGGCGATTGAGTACGATGAATCGGCTGCGGTAACGAAATCCATCGATTTGCCGAGAGAAGTCAGTATCATCTATTTTGGGATTTTTTTTGGAGTCGTATCTTTATTTTTTGTTCTCGTTCTTGTCTCATTTAATATCGTTTTGATATTTTTTACCAGTTGACGAAGATTTCCCTCAAGACGAAGCTCAAGAAAGGTTCATTTGCGCTGAGAAAGGATCCTCATAGAAAGAATGCAGAAATACTATCTTTAATTTTTAACACCGTGACCGCAAACTTTATTCAACGCCCCGATTCTTTTCAGGCCGAAACTGCGTTGGGCAGTTTGTGTGTGAACGATGGGTCCGTTGAGGGCACTTTGCATCCACAAATAGTTCGAGTTAAGGACGAAGATCTTGGGTCCAAGACAGACTTGAAGAAGGATGACAATGTAGGTTACGACGATGAGGCAGCGATGGAGAATCCATTCTTTCACTTGGTCTTTGAAAACAATCCTTTGGACGGCCGAGCGGACAACGGAGTCTCGATGACAATGCGACCTTTGGAAATCATTTATAATCAAAGTACTGTCCAGGCTATCACCGACTTTTTCAGACCTCCGGAACAACAATTGGAGTCGATTTCCGCGTTGATCGTAGGTATTAGTGGAATAATTGGTACCCTGTTTCCCGATTTCTTGATTAAAAATTTATCTACCTTAGGAAGCGGCCGAGGACACCATAGAGGGGATAAAGGCACAAACAAGGACTGGTTTAGAGTATGCATTGGAAGAACATAAAACCTTCGATGTCAAAATAGACATGAGTGCTCCGATCATAATTATTCCGGAGAGTTGCACCAAAAAGGATGCTCAGGTTGTGGTGCTCGACTCTGGTCACATTAGCGTGGAAAGTAAATTGGTCAGTAAAGCTGACATAGCAGAGATTCAATCCAAGGAGAGCGAGAGTTACAGTGAGGAAGACTATAACCGATTGAAGTCTTTTATGTACGACAAATTTTCGGTGCATCTTTCATCGACTCAGGTATGATTGGCTTTTGTAACTGTCCGATTGGTTAAGCAGACTGTTTAAACAAGGTTTGTCCGTTGATCTTAGCTTCTCGTGGGACAATCCGTCGAGCGATGCTTGGCCCAGATACGTAACGCCGATCCCACATACGACCTCCACTTTATAGACCGGATAAATATGGAATTTCTAGTGGAAATGTCAATATTACCGAGGGCATCTAATCTTACTAGGTTTAAGGTTTCCGGGCGTCTACCCCTTTTAAAGGCAAATTTTTCGGATCGAAAATATAAGATCATAATGAATATTATCGACAAAGTGACTTCGTCATCATCGAATGCAATCGAGGAGCCATCCGTTGTGGTCACGCACGAAGATAAAATTTCATTTAGTAAGGTAGCGAAGGAAGCACTTAGGGAAAAGAAGGCATTGCAATGGGAACGTGCGAAACATAGGGATTCGGTGGTCATGGCCGAAAGATTAGGTCTGGCGAAGGTTTCCCACTTACCTGACTTGGTGGTAGTTGATGATGACGAGGAGGAGACGGATGAATTTTTTGATGCTCAAGATGCGGGCGTATGCATTCACTCGTTCTTTCTTCCTAGGTTCTATTTTGTACACAATATTGAGTTTGTCGCGATTTTAACAATCTTTTTTTTTTCCTCCTCTACATCAAGTCTTCAAACAATTCAAAGGCCAGTCAACGAACCTTCGAGTTTGAATTTCGAGTGGACAAATTTATTGCCAATGTCAAACAAGCAGATCCGGATCCCAATAAACCCGAGGCCATGCTCGTTGAGATGGTCCTCGAGCATTTTGGACTGAATTACGTCCAGGGCCCGTTTGATATGTCGGCTGAGGTCGTTCTAAAATCGTTAAGCGTAGAGGACAAGATGTCTGAAGCTGGGACTGAATTTAAGCATATAGCTGCGTCCGAGGGATATGGCAATACTCAATCGGATGATTCCAAGGACCTTGTTCACGTGAAATACTCTAAAGTTAGTCCACAATCTCCGGAATACATGAAGAAGTATGAAGGGATCGATCAGAGTGTCGACATCGAAATGTCCACGATTAATGTAATCGTAACTCGAAAAACTATCCTCACCCTATATAATTACGTCCTCGACACATTTACTTCAGCCGATCAAGGGCCCCCAGTAGATTCAGGAATTCCGCAACCTGACTCGGAATTGCAGTCGCCTTCACCCGAAAAGCCCCCCACACAAAAACGTACACCTACCATGCGCGTAAAAGTCAAACTAAATAGCATCAGGTTTATTTTGAACAATGATGGCACCAGACTTGCAACGGGGTTGCTTTCTCACGCAAATGCTGCTGTCTTACTGAGAGAAAACACTATTCGTGTCGGGGCGAAACTAGGAAATTTTGAGTTATACGATGACCGGGCTAGCGCCGAGTCTTCGCGAAAATTACTCACGATAGAAGGGGATGATCTAGCCGTGTTTAAATATGAAACTTTTGACGAAAGCGCTCCGGGCTTTCCTGGATACGATTCTTCGGTTTCGTTGCATACGGGTTCTGCCAAGTTGATATTTTTGGAAGAACCGGTTCGTCTTCTACTCGACTTTGGAAGCAAATTTGCCCAGATGAAAGGACTTTATGATTCGGCTCGTAAGGCCGCAGTAACACGAGCGGCTCATTTCCAGGAGAAAGTTTCGAAATTTCACTACGAGATTGTGATTCATACTCCAATCCTTACTTTCCCTCAAAATGAAGATTCAAAGGATATGGTTATCGCTAATCTCGGTGAATTTTCTGCATCCAACGAGTTCATTCCGAATAACGATGGCGAAGGGTATCTCACAATGATCAAAGCTCAGCTCCAAAAAATTCGTTTGACATCAAGTTTCGAATTTCCGGGTGGCAATTTGCCGCAAACTCTTTTAATAATCGACGACGTGGACATCGATGTGAGCATCTCTTACTCGGAGCACATCGAAGGTTCAACCAGACCCGACATGGAGGTGAGCATTACATATTCCGTTCTTTATGTTCGACGTTCTTCTCGAATTAAAGAATGTTTGATCTTCTCTCTTCTTAGATCGTCGGCAAGATGTCGGACGTCAGGATGAATTTAACCGAGAAACAATACAAATTCTTGTTCGATTTATCGAATACCGTTCCTCGGGCGTTTAGCAGTACCACTGATCAAACGTCTTCCGAAATAATATCAACGTCCGATATTCCTTTGAGTTCTGAAGATAAAACGAAAATTCCTACTGGCTCCGATGTGCCATCAAAGGGACGGTCGACGGTTGATTTCGTGTTTAAAGTAAATCAAATATACTTGGAAATATTTTCGGGTGACGGTTTTCAGGCCGAATCATTGAGTGAAACTAGTCTATCCAAATTTTCCCTTAATCAAACCGACGTCAAATACAAAACTATGAACGATGGCTCAATGGAAGCAGAGCTTCGACTTCGCTCAGTCACTTTGCAAGACACGCGGCCAAACATTAAGAATGTGTACAGAGAAATATTGCCGGCAGTTAAAGAAGATAACTCTCAATTCACAATCACTGTTTCCATGTCCGGCGGATCGGAGAGTGAGATTGTGGCAATTGCAACGGTCGACAATCCACAGGTCATATTAATATTAGATCACTTATTTGCCACTCGCAATTACTTCATGAGTGCCTTTGAAACACCAACTCCGAATAATAAGAGTGCGGCCCAACCCGTCGAAGTCACTTCTCCAAAATCACCCACGTCATCCGTTCAATCTCCGCCGCGTCCGGTTGCGGCGCAAACTTCGTCTCGATCGGTTGCCGCACTAAAATATCGGGTGAATGTTACCAACGCGGAAATAATTTTACTTGCCAACCCTCACTTGATGGATACCGAAGCGATTATTCTTTCTGCCGAACAATTGATACTTACGCAGCAAACGATTATGGCATTGAATGTCAACAAAATAGGGATGTTCTTGTGTCGTATGAATAAGAGAGAGTCATCACAGTTACACTTTATCGATAACTTCAATTTTTCATTGACAATGGACACTCAGAATACGAAGCCCGGACAACAGCTTACAAACATTGCCGTGGATGTTGGCCCTCTCCTTCTGAGACTTTCATATAGAGATGCTTTGCTGATTACCTCGATTGTAAACAAAGTGTCCGAACTTTCATCTCAATCTACTGCGTCAACATCACCGCAAGTTGAGCAATCGGAAATTGAATCTGAATCTTCAAACGAGAAACCAAGGGAATTTGATTACAATTCGCTTGAGAAGAAAGGCAGCAGTGGTAGTTTATCCAAAGGACGTTCCGGTTCCTCTCAGGTTCTGACGACGCGCGAATCGGTAATTAAATTTGTACTTGAAAAAATGTCCCGGCCTTTGGATTACCCGCTAAACCTGTGATCACGTATTTTCTTTAGCTCAAGGCGAATTTTCATGGTGCGAAACTCGTCTTTATCGGAGATGAACATGATATTCCAATGATCGTCGGAAATTGTAATAGCTTTGCTGTGACCGTAGCTGACTGGTCATCACGGGTTTGTCATGGTTCAAAGATCAAAGTGGTCTTCCTATGTGTTTTGCACGTCTTCTGATAATCCATTCATTCCATTGGTTCATTAGCTAAGTGTCGACGCCACTATTTCTACTTACATGGATTATTTCAATCTTACGAATTCCCATTGGGAACCATTAATCGAACCATGGCAATATAGCCTTCACGTATTTTCAAATCATTTCCTTGTCAAATGATTGACGTGCCACTCGAGGATTTTAAATTCACCGATTTCTTTGAACCTAGATCTCAAAAAATTTAAACCCTGAAAGTATGGTCATTGATATTTCTTCGCAAAAACGGCTGGAAATAAATGTCACGCATATATTCTTGGAGACCATGTTGACCACACTTTCCATAATTGGCCACGAAAGTGAGGTAAATGTTTATTTATATCTAGATATGCTATATGTGCACTCTTTGTGCAGTTATACTTCCGATTCTTTGCTAACCATAACTTCTCTACACCTCACGATTAGCACGTGCTTAATATTGATCGAGGCTCGAAAACACCTTACAAACTTATAAACCGAACGGGTTATGGTTTGCACGTCTGGGCGAACGACGCGGCGGATGTTAAATACGAAACAATGAATGATGGCGGGGAATTAGATTGGAGATTCGATGATTGGCGCAAAACGCGTGAGGTTGAGCGTTGCCGCCAGTATTATGTGACCATTCTTAATTATGTTTCACTCGTTCACCTTCACTCGCGAATCTTGTAGTCAATTACAATAACCGAAAACATGCTGGGCATTCAATTTCAAGGGCCCTTATGGGAGTGTATTAAGGACATCCCTGTTGACAGAGAAGGTGAAACGCTCTACACGCTACGCCCGAAACTGGAGGATAATGTCTCTCACCGTTTGGTTGTCGACGTGAAATTAACGGATAATATCAAGGTCGTAACTTTCCGGTCGGTACTTGTCGTAGAAAACCGTACGCTCATCACGATAGAACTTTTGATAGACAATGCGAAAGTGCCCAAAGTTTATCAGATAGGTGGGTGGTTGGTTTTCTTCGAGATCTTCTTGGATATAGTAATTTATTTTATTTTTATGGCTTTAGCTCCGGGCGAAGATTATCCAGTGCCTATTGAAGCGGCGTATCATCAAAAATTTAAGATTCGACCTGAAGGTAACATCAATATGATATTGTCGGGTCTCTTTGAATAAGTCAACGGTACGGAATGATTGATTGCCTGATTCTAATAGGAGGCTTTGGTTATAATTGGAGCACTGAATATTTATACTGGAGGGACTTCCTAAAGCAAGTTCCCACCACCTCCGTTTCTTGCCAGAATATTCAGGATGGGGAGATACCATTTAGGTTTCAAGTTTGCGCCCGATACTCCAAGAAAAATCCCCTTGTGAAGTAAGCTGTCTTTGAATATTAATTTCAGGATCTCTTCCTAACTTATTACCAAACGGCTTTTTACATCATCCGCAGAGAATACCCTTACATGACCATTCGTCTAAGCGCACCAATTCAAATAGAAAATCTGTTACCTTATGATATTAACTTCCGGATTAAAGATGAAACAAATCGTCATGACTGGCCCGAGAATCTCTTGCGAAAAGGACAAGTGACTTCTTTTCACTACATAGAATTGGGACATCTGTTGTTGTTTAACATCAATATATTAGGAACTGGTAATAATTGGTTCGATTCGTTTTATTTTGATATCATTTCCGTTAATTTTCTTTTTTTTTCTTTTTTTTTTTACACGCATCCAAAGGCTACAAAACTAGTGAACTTGCCATCATCAGCACGACAGATAAGTACGAGTATCAAACTGATAATACTTTGCCCTTAACCGATGGTCAAGGCTTGAAGTTAAACCTCCGACTCCATTATTTGTATATATTGCTTTGCTTGCTTTCGTTCACAATATTTGCATATTTGCGACTTAAAATTCTATATATATTTATTTAGCAATGTTCCGGATTCTGGCGGGGCGTTCAAAGTTAGTGTGTACAGCCCTTACATTATGATGAACAAGACAGGTTTA